TTTGTTACCATAGTATGTATTTTATTTTAAGCTACAATAATATTAATTTTATATATAACTATATTTAATATAGTAGCATTTAATAATTTAATAATAATCATAAATAAATTTTTTTTCAATTAAGTGTTAAGAAACTTAGGTACCATAATCAAAATGCAATATTTTTTTTTAAATTCTATTTTCATTGTATTTACATTTAAATAAAATACATTCTATTTCAAATATAGAAATAGAGAACATAAATATAAAATTAGTTATGAAAAAATCTTGAAATCTGTATTTATTGATATTAATTTGAATAAAATATAAAATGTATTTCTGAAGAGTAGCCCCATTGGCGTTCCAGTGCACCGGCACCCAAAATTAATTGGCTTTCGATGCTTGGTAATTTTTAAATGGCCAAAACCTTGGGTGGGCATCAACAATTGCTGGCCAAAAATAAAGGGCCGGCCGAAACGCAATCCCTTGGCCCTTTGCGCCGGCATAATCATAATGGGTTTTCCACCGCCCCCACTGGCCGGACTTTTCCGGGCCGTCGGAAAAGTCTGTCTGGCCCGATAAGGAGCGAGTGCCTTTGTAGTCGCACTTTTGACAAACTACCATCTCTCTTTCGGCTGGAAAACCCGAAAACCGGCAAACTGGTTAACTGGCAAACTGGCAAGCTGGGAAACTGGGAAACAGGATGCGGGTTTCGTCCTGGCGCAGTCACACTGTCACCGGCAGAAGTCGGTGCTCTAAAACAATTTGCCATAAACATTAACGACAGCAATCGGTGGGCGTTCATTATATTGGCCCCCGAAAAGGCAAACAGCCAGGACATTCGGCCATAAGGACATACGGTCCTTATGATGACGTTACTCCACTGATGGACATGAATCTGTAATCGAATTCAATAAAAGCTGAGAGTGCAGAAACCGTTTGACACGGAATTCAATCGACTCGGCCCGCCGGCCATGGAAAATCGAGACTCCCCATCTGAAATCCAGGGGGTTTTCCGGGTGTTTTCGGTGGCTTTTCCGGGGGACTTCCAGGGGTTCGGTGGCTTTCGGTGGGCGTGGGCAAGGAAACTCATCAGCCGGACGCTTGTCGGGCTCATTTGTTAATTTTGTGCAATATCGGCGAGTGGCCACTGGCCCTGCAGCCTCCTCTCCTTAACTTGGTTGCCTCGAATCCTTCGAGTTCAGTCCCTCCTCCAGTCTCTCAATCCTTCACTCCCCAATCTCCTCAGATCCCCCAATTCTCCAATTCTGAAATCCTGGAGGCGAGCGAAACATTTAACATGCGGCAATATTTATTGCCATGTGACACACGACAATGGGGTATATCAGCTGAAGTGATGGAGTGAGTGGATGGAGGAGGGACTTTTATTAATTTACGAGTGCTCATTCTGGAGTTTGCCCCACCAAGGAGTTCGTATAAATGAAGACCTATTGCCCCAGAATGTGTCTAGTCATTTAAAAGTTAACCTTCATTAATGGAAAATTAATTTAGTATATAGATGAATCTTCAAAACTGAAACAGCTTCCAACTCATTATTGCAATATAAAATTATTCTGAATTATATTCAATAATTAAAATTGATTAGTTTTAAGATACGTTTAATATATACATATATTATATTATATTTATAAAGTATTATTTATTTATTGAAATTAAACAAGCAAAATTCCTAACAATTACCTAAGAGTAGACTGTTAATTGGTTTAAACTCACAGGTAATGCGTTTCAGAAGCCCAAATATTGCTCCCTCGATCCAGAGGCTCCGTAGATTCCGATTTGAATAATGGAAACACAATCGACTTTGGAGCATTAGCCGTCTCGAATTTAGCTCGCCACGGAAATTGCGACAAATGAGAATTGGATTGCACCGAGAACCGTTCGCGGATGTGGCGCCATTGCCGCCGCCCAAGTGCTCCGATTCCGCCGACCGCCTCCTAATTAACCACCCACCCTCGGGACGGCCATTATGCAATGCGATTATCGACCCAAGTCGGGGCATCCCACTATATACTCGTATGCCCAAAACCCATCCGAGTCCACAGTCGAAGCAATGACGGATTGGCCAAGTTATTTGCCAGTTTGCCGGCAATCGCCAATTGGCAATTGGAATCGGGTGCGAATATAGCGACGCCTGCGGCAGTTGACACATGCGGCAACCGGGGGGTTAAGGGGGCGAACAGAGCTTAGCGGGCCCACAGGGGTTAATGAGAACGGGTGCAGGAAGTCCGACGAAGTCATCACTTGTGTGGTTTTCCACACTGGCAGCTCTCTGGCAACAATCGAAGTGGCTGAGTATGAAGATCCAAAGCTCTATTATCTACAAATGTCACACAAACATTTGTGAGTCTGGCAAATAACACTTTACTTATCCAGAGGGTATATATAAATATGTAACATTGAACCCAAGAAACAAAAGAGATCTTCATGCGATATATATAACTAAAAAAGATATAGTTAAAAATGACTTTTTTCTTTTATTAAAATGCTCTAGAAAATACTTAACGAACTACGGCTAAGATAATGGTAGCATTCCTATAATGTTTTTAAATTTAATAAGATACAACGATGTAACTATCAGTGTTTTATAAAAACTGTGTAAGATGATTTGATTTTTGCTTATCGTAATAATAATAATAATCATAACATATTTTGTTAAAGAAATGCTTGTTGAAATATTTTAAAATGTTTTATAATTTTACTTGAATATGTGGAAACTTTTGGAGTATTTAAATCACAATATATAATATTTTGTAGAATAATAATAAAAGTATTGAATCAGGTATAAAATGCTCTCTTTAAGACCATGATGTATAATTAAAATATTGCTAAATTATTATTTTCCAACCATATAATTCCTTAATGCAGATATTTAACAACCCAGAAGGCTGAGGGCATTTCCCCGTCGAATTGAATGCACTCGGCTGCCAGAGTCTGGCATTCCCATCTGCCGGCTGACTTCATTTTTAACGGTCAAGTTGTCTCAGTGCCAGCAACTTGCTTTTATTGCATTTGCCCGGCAAGAAAGCCATCCGATCCAGTACAGTACGGTACGGTACAGTACGGACCAGTACAGTATGGTCCGATCCGAGTGGCCGAGGACTTTGACGTCCTGCCCGGATGTCGTTTCCAATAAATGGGAATCGGGACAGGCGTTAAGCTGCGAGCCGCACACTCTCCACACACATATACTACACACACATACTGCACACACACTTTGTGTGGACACCATGCCATATGTGGGTGGCTCGGCACTTTAATTAATTTCTTTAAGTTCATTAACGTTTGACTTGTCGGGGAATAAGGGACGGACAAGCGGCGGACAGGGAATGGGCGGCGTTATTGGAAAGCCACTCGGCACTTTGATGACATTGTTGGCCAGACGATTGGCGCTCCTCTTTTTCCCAGGGGTTTGCATACGGAGATGTCCTGCCCTGGATTCTTGGTTCTGGATGCGATGTCCATGTGTCCTGGCACTTCCGCCAAACGACAGCATCGAAATTGTCAGAATGAGCCAATGTTGCGTAGCACTATTGTTAGGTTGAAAGCTGCTAGAATTTAGTTTCTTTATTTTAATAGAGTACATTTATGTAGTGCGATAAAATATAAGTGTTCTTATTAAATTACAATTTATTTTAAATTATTAACTGTAACTGTCTAAAATTGAATTGTAAAATTAAGTAGAAATAAACTGATTCTGTACACTTTATAATGTTGAGAATTATGAACTGCTATTTTTTTTTTTAATTCGTGTTGTTAAAATTGTTCTAATAATAATATAATATTTATTTAGGTAGTTCAATGTTTATAAAAAAACTATGGCTTATACATCAATATAAAGCACCTTACACCACTGCAGTTCTCAAATTGGTTCATGTTTGAAAAGAGCTTTTCTTAGTGAATTTGTATTTGAAAATTTGTTATTCAGTTCAAAAAATTGAACTGACTTAAATATCTAAGGAGTGAGGTTGCTTGCTGTATTTTTCCTGGGAGTTCTTAGGAGGCTCCTCCATCATCCACATATCATCCTGCCGGCGGCCTTAAGTGCCGTTCCCGTTCGCAGGACATTAATTGTGTTTGCCCTCGCCGCTTTCTGCTTAGTGCCATATGGGCATTAAAGATTGCCGGCTTGAAGGCCCGCCAGAATATTTTCTCGCACTCAATTGAGGTGACGGGGTGACCCCGATGCGCGGAAACCCTTTTGGCCGCGGTCCTTTGAGCCTGTGTCCTGTATCGCTGATGGCCTGCATCGCCATCTTGGTGGGGATGTGGCAATGGAAGTGGCAATGGAAGTGGCAATGGAAGTGGCTATGGCTGTGTCGAGGAGATGGAGGTGGAGGTGTTGGCATCCTTAAACCGTTCGCGTTCCAATTCATTTTTCAAAGCTAACCGAAAGGACCCCCAAACCCCGCCGAACCGATGGTGGGTGGGTTGGGTCCATTGGGCCGTGGATGTTTTTCCAACGTTCATTTTTTGGCAGCTCATGAATATTCATAGACATGAGCGGCCAAAGGACCGCGTGGGCTATCTGACACAGTCAGCATTTTCCGAGGGAGCTGGTAGGTAGGTGGCACATTACGCCGGGGGTATTTTGAAAACGACTTGCCTTGAGGTGGCAGTTTGGTAGTTCAGCGGGCCAAGTTTGCAGGAGGGATGCACGGAATGAGGGGTTTTAAGGGGTTGAGGGGTTGAGGAAGGAGGGGGGGGGTTTGATGCCCTCAACTGGCTTACATTTGCGGAACTACAAAAAAACCCATTAAAGCGAAGAAAGTGCCCTCGAAAACTGCTTAAAATACTTTAATATTTATATTGTGTTCAGATCCTACTTAACGAAATTGTTTTTACAGCACCATAAAGTTGTGTTCGTTTGGTCGGAGTTTGAACTTTTCTTTTCCATTGCTGTAAGTTACGGAATCGTTTGGCTTACCATAATACTTAACTTATCTCTAATAACCTTGTTATTCGTTTCTTAGCTTTCTCCTCTTCAATAATTTCAAATAATATATTCTTAACTGGGTAATTAGTTTATTGTGTAAGTAATATTATAGTGTTTTGTATTTGGTATTTTAGGGAGTATTGGGCATTGGCTGTTGCATGGACTGCTAATTTTCCGCCTGACTTGACACTGGCTGCTCTTCTTTACTTTGATCCTGACTCACTTCTTGAGTTTGATCTTTGTCCTTTTCCTTTTCCTTATCCTGATCCTTGGGCATCGCAAAGAGCTTCGTCCAGTGCCTGGCGATCTTGTCGTGTTCCTTGCGATTGGTCTTGTACTGATCGGCGATGCACATAACCAGCGGATCCTCCGGATTGCACTCACTCATCAGAACGTAAATGGACAGCAGAACCTATAAAAAATACGTTCAATAATAATATGAACCAAATATCAAACTAGTTTATGCAAGTGATTTTGTTTGGACAGTCCAGTTAAACAAAAAGAATACAGGTAATTAAATACCACACTAAAGTGTTGATATTTATCTACTATTATTATTATTATTGAAAAAAGTATATGGTAGGTTTAAATACTTTATCAAATATTTAAGAATCATAAACAAACTTTGTTTAAATATTTGTTACCAATTCATTTTCAAGGTTTATTAAGCCGAATAGTTTTTAGGTTACAAAATATAAATTATATGTATTTATTTTAAAGAAATGAAGTTCCCTAATGAGCAGAACAAAATACATAATTAATGTCAAATTATATTTAAGTACTCAGGATATTTGGAAAAAGATAATTGTTCTAAACAAAAATAAATAATAAATATCAAGGTATTTAAGTATTTCATGACTAGCTTGACCAACATTTTTAAAGAACTTTATGGTATAGTACATAAGCTATAGGATAGGTTTTAATTGTCAACCTTTTTAGCTGATTTAATTTTTAAGTGTAATGCATGGATTTGATGTTAGCAAACCTTGGCCACATTCAGCACTGGAGACCATCGTTCCCCGAGGACATCGAGGCAAATGGCACCGCGGCTGTCCACGTTACAGTGGTAAATCCTGGTAGTGAACCGGATGCGCGGCGGTCGAAAGGGATAGGCGTTTGGGAAGCGGATATCCAGCTTGAAGTGACCGCCTTCGTAAACGGAGCCAGCTGGTCCATCCACAACTGCTGACCAGCGAAAGAGATCATCCTCGTGCATTTCGGCAGAGCAATTTGGAGGCGGTTGCTTGCGAATGTCCTGCAATTCCCGCTTTATGCGCACCACACAACCACTGAGTGGTTCCTTTGCCTTCTCAGCTCGGCTGCCACTGCCGCTGGGTGCAGTTTCCTCCTCGGAACTGGCCACACTGGCGATCGAGAGGGCTTCGAGGGCTATAACTGCGGCATTTACTTCCACTTCCGTTTCCGCTGCAGCATTTGCCTCACTTTCCGGTTCCTGGCTGTCTTCCATTTCCGGCTGTCGATTCACCTCCTCGCTCGACATCCTGTATTTTGATTTCAATTGCTGATCCTTACTTTGTGCCTTTGCGATCTCAGTTCCGTTGAGAACTTGGCTTAATTTTGATTGAAGCGGTTCACATGTTTTTCGTAGGCTCGGTTTTCGTTTCCAGCCAAAGCGCAAAGCCCTACTGAGTTTTATGATATTTGAATAATATCTCAATGGCTACTGAGTGGAGTGCTTACTATTTTTTTTAAGTTTTTTCGGAAAAAAGGCATGTTCAAATCAATAGAAAAATTATTTTCCGAAATTTTAAAAAGCTGGAATGTAACATTTTTGGGGGATTCGAAAAATGAAAAAAATAATATTCCCGTTGAGGAAAAACGATTTTTCGCAATTTAATGTATGTTTTTAGCAAAGAAAGAAATGAAACTTTGGGTCTTCTACATTTCTTTCTTCCACGAAAAATTTCAAGGGCGACCACCATAAAATTTTGAAAAGAACTCTTTTTATTAAAAATAAGAAACATTAAGAAACAACAGAAATCGCATTCTCAGTTAAGATTTAATTTTTAGCTGGCTCATATAGATTTCGACGACAGAAAGTTAAAAAAAATAAAAAAATTTTCTGCAATATGTTGGCTTTGAAATTGAGAGACTAGTTTCAGAATACAAAACGTATTTCTGTTTCGATCAAGTTGTCAGTCAGTTTTGCTTTGACTAGCACATACACTTCCGATTTTCCGGCCAAGTAACTTCCAAAAATAATAATATTTATATATTTTTTTTACCATATCTACGATGAATTGCGTGATGTGCGATGTGGTGACCATATCGCCCTATTCCCAGGAGGGTTCCTTTAGCGTTTGCGTCTGCACCAGAGAGCATTACCAATGTCTTTGCTGTGACGAGGATTTGAGGAGCCGATGTGGTATTTGTGCTGAGAAGACCCGCTTGATCTACGTCGACTTGAGATTCGCCACCGAGGAAACTGAAGTGGCCAGCACGAGCAACTCCTCTCCAGCTTCCGATTTGGAATATTCGAACCTTGAAACGGGAAGAACCTTCAACACCCTTACGCTGAGTAAGAACTCTAACAAATGGAACAATCATTGCGACCAATCAACTTATAGAAGCCGTCGATCCAAATCGGTGGTCACTGTGGAATGCCAAACCGATTCGGCTCAAATGCGGAGTAACTCAGTGGGAAGAGCTAGACAGTGGCATCCAGAATTTCCCCAGGCCGAAACATATCTAAAGTCAGAGGAGGATCATTATGAAGAGCCAGGGCCACGTATGAAAAGACTCCTTCAGGAAGAGTCCAACAAGAATGATTTTCTGAAGAGCCCTTTGAAATATATAAATAATTTGGAACAAATGCTTTTAAAAATAGATAAGCAAATCAAAGAAATTAATTATGCAGAATGGAACAATACTAGAAAAGCTGCAGATACTGAAGTTCAGAGCTCTAAAGAGTCAAACAGAAGTACTTATAACGACTTGGAACAATCGAAACCTGAAGAGTTACAAACTTGTAAGGAAGATAATTTAGAGGAAGATAGTTTAGAGGAAGATAATTCAGAGGAAGTTATATCAGTATGCCATACCGCCACAAATGAGAACGTTTGTCTTAATAGATTAGAAAACTCCAATAAGAAGACAACTGTGAAGTATTTAGATGAATACACGGCTGAAGAACAGCGTTTACTTATAGGATATCCCTATAAAATAAGGAGTTCGGAAAGTTCGGAATACTCAGCTGTTTCAACGGATAATACCAGCGAAAAGGAAGCAGAATACCCGGAAGAAATCACACCTTCATCAAGATTCTCACAGAATACCCATGTAAGGCCCAGAGTTAATGAAATTCAGCCGAATACAACGGAAAATAAAGGTGTAGTTCTGCGTTTTCCGAGTCAAAAGGAGGGACCAACCCTATATTACAGAGATAATCCTGATACGAGGAGAAGTTGCGATGATAAGCAGAACACCAAACAAGTTCCAACACCCAAGGATCCAAGATCACATCAAGCAGAAGCACATCATCAAACAGAAGACAAAGATATAGGTAACTTTGTGTATTTCACCGCCGAACAGAAAGATCCAGCATATGGAAGTTTGACCCTATCGAAACCTCTGGAATTACTCACCTCGGAGCCCCGAAAACTGAATCCAAGTGTCCTGGGAAATCAGATTTCGCTGGTGCGACGTGCTCGATTCGCTGGCCAAAATCCATTATCGTGGCACTCCGAAAAGGTGCCGTGTCCGAAGAATTTCGTCACCGATCTCGTGGCCTCCAAAATGGAAATAGGCAAAGTGGTGCTACCAGTCGTCATGAACACAACCGATCCATTGACTAAGTGCCCAGATCCAAGTTGCAGGGAAGTTCTCTATTTGTGGAGTATCAACAATCACTTGGTGTCTTATCATCGCAATTGGCTCGTGGATGTTTTGGAGTTGAATCAACCGAGGACCTTCTACTTCGATTTGGTTAAAACGAACCGTAAGATGAGATGCCATGCTGTTTTGCAACTGCGGAATGTGATCGAGAGCCAGGGATTCGTGGAGCAACAGAATCTTTTGCCTGTCATGATAATGAGTATGCAGGTTCCCATGAAGGACATTGGGGAAAATGGCGGACTGGATCAGCGATTGACCCTCGTCTGGGCCTCCACTCTCCTCTCGGATTCTCTGCCCCTGAAGATCAACCTCACTTTGTGGCCCAAGGCCGGGAATTCCCCCGAGAGCATCGTGTCCTTCACAGGAAGTCCTTACGATTTTCGGCAGTCCTGGCGCCCCATCAAGTTGATCAAAAGTGGCAGAGTTATTATTTTGACTGACGAGCAAGTGGATAATTTAACCTACAATGGAAAGGATTTGGTGGGCATTCAGTTTTTTACCATGATGGGAGTTCCCAAAGCAGATGTTAATGATCCCAAGCCATCGAACTCTGATTAAGAAGTCCAGAGAACCAGTACAACAACGCAAATTTTTATGTTTATACTGCTGAGTACTTTACCATCATTGGTTACAAGTATTTTGTACAGAAGCTAGTGGAAATTAAATGTTACAACTTTCTTTCAATCTAAACAATGTTTGTTCCTAGTTTTATTAATTGCAATATTAATACCATATATTTCATTGAAGAACTGTCACTGTTTTTCAATGGTTACAATATGTTTACTCCCTGTTTTAAGCATTCGCTGTCGTCAAATCGAATTGGCTCCTTTTTAGGTGCTGCTTTCGCATTTTTCGCGTTGGTTCTTTGGTGGGAAATTAGGAAAGTGGGAAACAGGACTGGATGATGCGGCCAGGACGAAACAGGCGGGAGAATAGATCTAAGGAAAGCGACACTCAATTTGCGAAATGCAATAAATTGAATGAAAAGTGTGAAAATGAAGAGGAGTCATCAGCATCAGCGACAACACTAACGACCAGAAAGAGAAGGGAATAGGAGCGAGCGAGATGGAGGCAGATAGATAGAGCCTTAGCGCTGGAAAGCCAGAAAATGTAAATGAAAATTCAAGAAAATTTAATAATAAAAACATCAGCATAAAGTGAAACGCATAAAATCCAATGAAATGTAAAAGGCGCCCGCTGGACCTTCTTGCTGTTGTCTTCTGGCTCGCTGTCCCTTTCTATGCCCTATTACCCGTCTCTTTTTCCCGAAGAAGAGACAGTGGAGTAGGCGGAAGGACTTAATATTTGGGCAGGTGCTTAAGGGGTTAACAAAAAAAGATATAAAATGTTTAAGAAACCTTTCATGTTCTGTGGTAAGTTCTTTCATGTAAAAGTTTATCGGTTTTTTTTTTTTTTTAAATTGTATCATAAATAAATAAAAATACAAATGTGTTTTAGAATCAATGTGTAAACTAAACAATAATTCTAGTTTTTTTTTCAAAATAATTTCCACTCAATTGTGTAATCTTGTTCAAATGTTTACAAAATTAATGTGAAACTATTGTGGATTTTATGACAAGACGTAAAGTTTTCATGCAATTTTATAAAGAACGACCATTCCCCCCTTTTTCCAAAATCCAAACCACGCCCCTGGTCGAATGTATGTGGAAAATAGCGTCGGGTAATCACATTTCTCTGGTGTAGTATGGCAGTATGGCAGTGTCCTGCAGCCGGCAGGATATGCTCAATTGAACATGTTGATTGCTGACAGCGCGTCCTGACCCAGCGAGCTACCCACCGAATACCCACCGATCCCATCCGCCGCACCACTGCAAATGAGGAGTCAATTGAAAATCAAGTTAGAGCTGGCTTTAATGGAATTAGTTCTACATGGCAGCGAGTCATCTGCGAGATGCAAAACGCAAACGCAAACGCAAACGCAGGCTGGCGCTCAAAAGCGAAAGCACCCAAGGATGTATGCGAACCGGGCATTATGCTATATAGTACAGCTCCGGAAGTTCCACTTACTTACCTCCGAGTGTCTGTGTGAGTGGTCGGGTGGTTCACTGGGTGGGTGGTTACTTCACTGGCCGGGTGGCTGAGCGGGGCGCACCTAGGCAAACATTTAAATGGAGCTCGATTGGAGCGCCGGGGAGCGTTGAAAAGCGTGTAAATGAAATTAGAGAGCTGCCACGCCCACCGGGCCAACCAGCGCCCCGCCGCCATGATGGCACTAGTTTTAACCCGCCAACAGCAAACAAGTTATGAGGAGATACCCTCGAAAAAAATGGCACTCCCGGTGGGGCAGGTGGTGTCCAAAGGGGCACAGCAAACCGAACTTTTATTTCAATATTAAAGGAAATATTTAATAATATTTTCAAAAGAGTTAGTTGAGAAAAACAGGACTAATTTATATCTTCTTTTCTCTTTTCCACAACTCTACTTATTGAAAAATATGTTATATTTACCACAGTTTATTTAACGTTCCAATAAAGTCGTAAATAAATGTTATAAAAACAAAACATTTCTTAAAATTGCAAGTAAATGCATCTCTTGAAAATGAAAACTTGTTTAATATTAATTCTTTCTAAAATTTAACCAAAATGTGAGTAGAAAATATGTTTGGTGTATGAACAATTTTTAAAATCCATATATACTTATTATTTATATAGCACATAATAAATAAAATTTATTTTAATACCCAGTAATGCAAAACTTATATATTTTCTTAAAGTTGATCTTTGCTTTAATACTATTATTATATTATTCCCATTAACAAAACTGAACAAGAATTATTCAGGATAATAACTTCTTTGGAGAACAAAAAACGGGATTAAGGAGTCTCTTTTGAAGCCATTTACCAGCAGAACAAAGTACAATGCCATCTTGAAGCCGCGTAGCAGAAAACTAAAGCGATATCGTCGAGGACTCGGCAGAAATGATTGAATGAGTGCCGGCTTGAATGGCTGGGCGAATTGGTGCATGAATCAATGAATGAGTGAATGAGTGAGTGCACGAAGGGCAATGCTATAAAGTGTAGCCACCGTTACTTCAGTGGGTGGTTCAGTGGGTTGTTCAGTGGGTTGTTCAGTGGGTGGCGGGTGGTGGGTGGTTGGGCAGCACTAACTGGGATCGCTCTGGGTTTTTCGACGCGACAGCTGATGGGTTATTGGACGCTTGTGGTCCCCGGTCCTCGAGCGTCTGCCCTTGTGTGCGATGGTTCGAGTTTGCCTTGTTGCAGAGAGCCAACTGCCTTTGTAGCTTAATTGAATTTAAGTGCGACGCACAATATGCAATATTGCAAAATGAATCATCGCATGTACACATGTATTCCCTGGCACTCCTCCACCTCCACCGCCACCTCCACTTACACTTCCTCCTCGCTGGCTGTTTTCCACAGCGTTTCCTTTATTTTCCCTCGGTTTTTCCCCCGTCGAGTGCATTTGACTTTGTTGCACGATTTGTCGCCGTACTCGAAGCGTTGGCAAACCATCCGCCACTTGCCAAAACGTCGGTGTCAAAAGGGGTACCTTTGCTTGCCTAACTTTGTTAGCCCATCCAGAATAGTTTTATTAACTGCCAATGCAGATAGAGTCGTTAACTTACTGGGCGAACTTGTTCGCGCTCCGATCTTGGCTAGCAACCCAGCTGTGAAAAGTAAGTAAAGATTTTCGAATGTAAATGTTAGAAATGTCATTAAACAAGCTAAAATAAATTTATATTAATCAATAGTATTCAGCGTTAGTTTTGGTATATGTACTGAAATAATGAACGCAAAGTAAAATAAAGTAAAATGTTTATAATTTCACGTAAAATGTTTACAAATTCATGTTGGCATATATTATTAAGTTTAATGGAAATAAAATTAAGTAAACTGAAAAAAATACATTTCTTAACTTATTTTCAGATATTAATAAAACCGAAATGTGTTGTAAATTGTCCACCTTAAAAGAGAATATATTTCTTTGCAGCTTAAATAGCAACAATTAAAACGGTTCGCTACTTTAAAGAACATATTTTTAAAACTAATTTTAGTGTTGTTCAAAAGCTCATGAAAGAGGCATGCGATCATTTTAACTGAAAGTCGTTATTTTTTACTTGAAATTCGTTCTTTAAAAAACGAAGGATACAATTTAATTGCTTTGGGTAGCAAGTGCTCGGCGGACTCATGATTTTAAGTTTGAGTGTGGGTGGCTGAATGAATGCACTCATGTGGCACTCACTCGGCCCTGGAAAGTGTTGTGCTCAACTTAAGAGCATCGTTAAATGTCGCTTTAAAAGTTCTGTCCCCGTGCCGAGTTTTTCTCGCCCTCTCCCTGGCCACGCCCCAATTTTCCTATTTTTTCGCCAACATTTGCCTCACCCTTTCCGCCCTTTTTCTACGGTGCCATCCTCCTTTTTCTCACCATCCAGTTACGGCACATAAACAAACAGTGCCAAACAAACAACTCCGATGTACGGTTCCACCTTTCTCCGCTTTTCTCCGCTCCTCTCCCTTTCGTCTTTCTCCTTTCGGAGGGCAAATAAAAAGCACTGAGCGAAAATCGATGTGCATAAAAGAGTAGCCAACAAGTGAACAAAACAAAACAGGCCAACAAAAAAAGCTGCAAAAATGCGGAGGAACAGGAAGAAGGAAACTTGGACCGGTCCACATTAGGGCCGAACACTCCCCTTCCGTAAATAAAAAGAAAAATGTCACACGGTTAAAAACAAGATTACTCAACTTGCTGATAAGACCTTTCATATACCCATTGCCGTCTTTAAATCAAATTTTTTAAAGGCTGCAATTAAATTAAAATACATTTTATTTATAATTTTTGTACTGAAATTAAATTACAATAAAACGTAAGTAGGGCAATAATTTCAAAATATTGAAGGGGGTTTACTTTATTTTCTGAAACCATTCTATAAACTCCAATATTATTTATAAACGAAATTTCTAAATGCTTGTTTAAATTTACTGCAAATAAAGTTGGACAGAAAATTTGTAAGTGATCAATGATTTCATGATTTTTTTTTATGGAATTTATAATATTGTTGTGGGTTTTTATGATGTCTTTATCTACTTTTTTTTATTAACTTAAACTGATTTTTTAGTTTAACATTTAGTCTTGATTTTAAAGAACTCGTTTTATTTTTTTAATAAAATGACATGAAGCACTTTATTTTGACTATGTTAAAGCAAGGATATGGTTATTTATTTATCACATAATACCCTTGCAAATGTTCTGGATTTCCAGGGTACAAAAATACAGGAGAAGAGGGACAATTTGTAGGGCCGCGTTTTGGCGACCAACGCAAACACTTGGCACTTGGCACTTTTTGATGTTGTTAGTGGCCATGTCTGCTCTCCAGTCTGGTCCTGGGGATCTGGACGGACTGCGGGGATGGGGGGATGTGGGACGGATGAAGGGGGGATGAGGGGAGAGGATCCGGGAGTCGGGAGTCCTGGTCCGGGGTGACCATTCCTGCAGGTGTCGCCGCGCAGACTTGCAAACTATGCACATGGCGGTAAATACTCCGCTCGCCACGTGGCCAAAACCGCGTTCCATTGCCGTTTCCGCTGGCCAACTCCTCGACTGGTTCGCTGCCCGTCCTGCCAGAAAGTACTACCAACAAGGAGCAACTCCTGCCGGGCGCTTAAATTTACTGTCCTCAGGCATTTCATTTGGTGTCGCGGCTAAATG